CTATGGTTGACAGGTGTCTTTCCAGCATGGTGAGCTGAATGTAGGTCTGCAGTGTGATGCCCCAGCGCTCAGGATCCTGATACATCAGCGCCTGCAGGGGCGGAAACAAACAGCTGACACAACCAGCATCAATTCAACTGCTATTACAACTAGTGGCCAGACCACTGCACACATTTCCACAAGGTTTGATCTGAATGGTCCCCAGAAGATGGATCTTGATTTCTAGTAACTTTTCTGAACTTAGTGCCAACATTAGGCTCAAATTCACTTGTACATACAGTACACTGGACATATCCATATCAGACAGACTGCCGATAAAATAAAGTGTCAGTTCACCCAAATTCTATAAATGAAATGTTCTCTCTATTGGCAGCTAACAATGCAGGTAGTTTGTTGGTCTCTGAAACTGCAACAAAGCATTCTCTCTCTCATTCTTTGCCCAGGGGCCACTTAATAAACAAACATTGATTGAAATGAAATGAATAAACATTAGGGTTGATGATGTGGCAGAATAACAACGTCAAACACATAATCTCATCTTTTTTTTCATCTTTGCTACCAAGTGGGAACTCTGCACTGAAGCTAACATGTTTTGAGTTGTGATGGTGCTTGTTATTAGCAACCTTGCATACAGCAATTGTCATTTGGCAAATTAAACAGTGGTTTAGAATTGGCATGAGATGACATAATAAGGGCAAATTAATCCATTAATCTTTTATTGAATTGCCTCATTGAATCTTCAAATCCAGCCACAGTAGGCTCACACACGTCAGAAATCAAGTGTCGCTACTTCTGTGCACTGCACAGATGGCTAATATGCAGCTCTCCTCTTAACAACCAGGGGACATTATTGAACATATGAATCCATTTATTTTAACTGTGAATTTGAAAATTATCAGTGGCCCATCTGTCACCCAATCACAAGCTAGATGTTACAAGTGGGCCTTAAGTTGAGTTCCCTAAGGGCCGATTTAATGCTCACAGAACCTACAGTATCCTGCAAATACTTTCAGATCTGATAGAAAAAGCCTGATAATCACACTGTTGTGTACAGTACCAGAGGGTTGTGTCCACGGACATTCTGCCATTTAGAGACTGGTTCGGTAAGCACCTGAAAAAACAAGAGAGGAATAATCCATTAACCAACGCTTCCTTCCAGCTGATGACTTACTGTGCTGAAAACTGGATTTTAGATCACCATGTGAAACTGAGTCTGCGCTTGCACTTTTGACGTTTATTTTTTGCCATTTTCCGACTGCCTTCATTTCAAAGGAGGGACTGGGAAACAATTATTCAGGCAAAGAATTAAAGCACACAAGGTGTAAGACACTAAAATAGTCCCTGTCTTTTATTAGAAAGATAACTCAAAAATGTTTCTCTTCCTGTCCCTACAGTGGGCTGTTTGAATCAGTTTGACTCTAGAAGGATGTTTTCACATTCATCTGCTGAAAGTTGAGCTCACTGAACATCTGATTTTAAGGAGCAGGGTGTTTGCTGTATGGGGACTTTGCCTTGTTGTACCTCTATGTTGCTAGTTTCGCTGAAATACTTCAGACATGTTGTCTTCCCGCTGGCAATGTTCCCCTCAATACAGATCTGAAAACAGTGACAGAATGACAGGTGTTTGCAAGCTGGTCCACAGAAATGATGAAGAAAAAGGAAATTACCATCATATGAGGTATGACTTTGTATTTTAGTATCATGATTAGTATTTATTAATAGAACATAACAGAAACCACACTGGCAGCTGCAGCCAACATTATGAATGTGGAGATCGTAGACTCACCACTGCTTTCTTATCCTCTCCGTTTCGCACCAACTTCCCTTGGGAAGAAGACAACATAATGAGACAAGACTTCACCTCCCACAACTTCCAGTGCTGGCCTGTCAGTAAGTCAGCAGGCTATAGCGAGGTCAGAGGGACAGACAGGTGTTAAAAAGCACAACAGGTACAGGACAGAGTGCAAGCAGGTGTACAGGCTTGTTCTGGCTCTGTATCACAGGACACTGAATTTAAGTTGAACAGTGACTATGCGGTTAGTGCTTTAATATGAGAAACAACCAAGAGTCATTTCGTGTCCAATGTGCTGAGGTATAGAGGAAAGACTGTGGCAAGAACAATACTTAGAGAGTGCGCTGCTCACAGAATAGTGAAAGCAGAGGAGGACACTATCATACGCAGAAGCGTAGGCGGTACAGAGGCAGGAGTACAGTCATTATAGAAGAAGCGTTGGCTATTATCCAGCGTTAGGGCTGCTCTGAAAATGAGAAAAACCACCGAAATAAAGAAACAAAGTTTTGAAGAACCAACCAACCAACCAAACCAAGGAGGCGCGTCCGAGAGCATCGAGTGCTATCTTAAATTCAGCTTATTTTGACTGGCTCTTTGTTAACCGGTTGATAAGACTGTCATGGCGACAACAGGGACTCGCATATGTGCGGTTGAGGGAATACAAATATTCTTAAATGGAAACTGACAACAGTCCGCTGCTGACTATAACCCCGTTGTATTAAACACCGTATCCAAACACCGTATCCTCGTTGTATTA